AAGAAAGGGTAGATGAACTTAGAATGTCCTGTTCAAAACAGGCTTTGTAAAAAGAAAAAATATTTCCAATGAGTTTTTTAAAATTGAGTGGGGAGGGGGTAAGATTTGAACAGAGCCAAGAGAATGACCTTCCAAGCAAAAATATACTGGCTAAACAAAGACATAGGGTGGAAATAATCAAGGTACTTTCAGAAGACAGTAGCTAATCAAGGAGAGCTGTATTAAAAGATACATGGAAACTGAATTTTAAAAAGCTGAACCAAATAAGTAAAAAGCTTTGAAAGCCACATTGAAGAGTTTGAAAATTTTTTATAGGCAACTGAAAAAATAATCAAGGTTTTTCAGCAAAATAACCTGATGAATACAAAATTTTAAACATATTAAGATGGCTTTTGATAAATATAATAAATAGTGTATATCCTCATTAAAGATGTGATTATCCTCATAAAGAGGCAAATAAAACACACTGAAAATATAACAAAGGGGGCAAACTGGAGCAACATATAAGAACAAAATGATTAACCCTAGATTTAATTGTTGGTAACAAGTAAAGCATAACATCATATAGAATAGAAAGTTAGGAAAGGCAAGATTACTAGGGTATGAGGAATTACCCTATTTTTGCTTCCTCCATTATCACTATGTTTGTATGGAATTCAAACTTCCTCAACATAGAATGGAATAAGAAATTTATTAAAGGAGTAACCAGAGTAGTTACCAAATTCATATATAGACAATGACTTTACCAAGTTAGATACAATACAATTGTGTTAATGTGCTTGAAAAAGTATTTGCAAAATAGAAGTCATGTGACTTATTACTTGTCTTATTAATTCAAGAGACAATAACAACTTATTAATTGCCTTATTAATTCAAGAGAAAATAACAACAAATCTCATCAGAGTAGCAATATAAATGAATTAGCCAGAGAAGCACTTTTGCCCAAGCTTCATTTTACATTGCATAACAAAACTAAAGTTTAATCTCTTCTGTCATCACCACACAAAAAAAAGAGAAGGATTCTTACCAGCAAGCCTTAAAGTTTCCTATATTCTTTTAATCCTCCCAAATAATTCATTAAATCAACCTCTTTCCTTCAGTCTTACCTAATCATATTCACTCCTTACTCCCACTTTAAAACATCAAGTATATATATTATAAACTTCCAGAAGTTATCTTTAATAAAATTAAGTATCTAGCCTTGATATAATACTTTGCAGTTGAGAAAATATTTTGCACAGGTTACCTCTTGGAACCCTCACAGAAGCAATGCAGAGCAATGCACAATTTTCATTACCCATATGTTATAGAGAACCCATAAGCCCATAGTCACACATTCCTCTGTGATAGAGCCTGGCCTTCAGTGTAACTCCAAATTCCATATTCTTGTCATTGAGCTTCATAATGTAGGACTAGGTATATTTCATTACTCAAATTTATGTTGTTACTTTGTACCATGTTTAAGCAAATACAGTTTTACTAAGGTGCCTTGATAGCCAAGTGCTTTTTGCAGGGCCATTCACTAACAAGGCCTAATTATTTTAAGATGTTCATGATAATAACAGTTATCATTTGATGAAAAGTCACAAGGAAGTATAATGTTTGCAAAATTGTTCATATTATACCAAAAATATTTTTGCCATGAATTCTGCAATGCAACACACAACAACAATATCAGTGATTTGAGGATATGTTAGCATCAAAGGGCACAAATAGGACATTTCTACTTTCTTTAGCTTTTTTTTTTTTTCTGGTACCGGAGATTAAGGCAGGCCATGGAACCACTGAGCTAAATCCCCTTCTTTAGCTTTGTTAAGGCCCCAAATACTGATATAGTTCAGAGCATCTTATTACCAAGGAGACATAAAACAAAAAGGAGTTCAGCTAAGAACAATAAAACAGATTAGGACTGCTTTAAAGTAGAAGGACTACTTTAAAGAAAGTTTTTAAAGAATTAAATCTAGGTAGTCTGGATTTAAAAAAAAAAAAAGCTAAAAGGAAACTTTTCTTGTTTAATATTTATACCAAAAACAGTAATTATTTTTCAGGAAGTTGTCTGAAAAATAGAAGTCTTTGCAAAGAATTGGAGCATATTTATAAAGAGAAAATTTCAGGCAAAAATCTATGAGATAGAAGAACTCCATCTCCCAGGAGTGGTGAAAACTGCATTCCTAGAGATATTTAATACCAGATTGGGGGAAAAAAAAAAACATTCCATATGGAATGATCTTATACTAGGATCCCTTAAGTGATGGGAAGACTGAAAAAGACCTCTTAGATACTTTCTATTCCCAATTTTTTTCAAATTCTATGAAGTTTTATGCAACACTATCTTCTGCCAATTTCTTTTCTCCCCATGATGCCCACTTTCTTCTTTTACAAAGGGAAACAAATTGCATATTTCATTTTAATCAGATTTCATTGCTCTCAATGAATCAATAATATAATCCTAGGTAAAAAATTGGGAGGAAAGAGTCAATTTCTAAACTTATAAAATTATTTTTATAATAGTGATTCCTAGAGCTCTGACAAGTTCTTCCACAAAATAAAGAGGAAGTAGTTTAAATGGTTTCAAAGAAAAACTGTCTTATCAGGAAAATTATTCATATTTCCCTTCTGTCTGATCACAGAGAAGACAAATGACCCTGGGAGCTGTAAGGCCCTGGCTCAAGTTACCATCAGAGTTGTTGTTTAGGATTATCTTTTACCTTTCAATATTTCATGCTGAGCAACAGCAAAATCTACTTACAACCTACATTTTTATAGTAATGCCTTTTACCTTTGAAAAGATACAGCCTTAAAAACCTCCCTTCTTTGGCAAATGTCATAAAAGAATAAGTCCTAGCCATGCTTCAAAGTCAAGAAGACTCAGCCTTTCCTTCTGTCTCTATTTTGGTACTTTTTAAAAATGTTCCCCAGCCACCCTTGAAATAGATCTAAATAACACTCCAAAAGTCCCACTCAGTGAAATCCCAGAAAGTAAAAGGATATTTCTTTGTTTGGCTGACTTAGAAAGGCAATTTATAACAAAACCTATAGGCTCTGAAAACCTGTCCCTGAATCCCTTAAAAATTAAGCTGTAGTTTATTTATGAGAAAGGACAGCAGAAAAGAGATAGTCTTCCAACAATAAACACGAATGCCTCTTCTATTCAACTTTAACATTAGTGGCTGAAGACACATAGACTCCCATCATACTTCTTTGAAAAAAAAAAAAACATTGTCCCACTAGCTACATGGAAAGTTCATAGATACTAACAACAAGTCTTCTAAACAAAATTTCAAAGTACCATTTTCATTTTTCCCTAGTAAAAAATTAGATCATTCAACTTAAAAAGATTGTCCTCTCACGTTGAAATAGAAATTGAAGTTTTCAAAGCCTTTCAACACTTAACTCATCTGATTCTGGCAGGAAAGAAATCCTATTTCTAATCTGAGGGGAGAAATGCTACTCTGAAATCTGACATTCTAAAGAGAGAGAACCCACTGCAGAGATGTTTCGAATCTCTCTCAACAATCAACCTATATTATTCCAGAAAATCTTAGAGTGAGTTTTTAAAAAGGCCACTCATACACTCCATGTGCTCATATAACTAAGGTGAAAAAAAAAGGTGTGCCTAGAATTTTAGGAATGAAAATGTGACCCTCACCTTTTAATAATCTATACAACTGGCTTAATTTTCTGAAGAAATCCACTGTTATCTTCCCTCAGAGTTAGCTTGTCAAAAGTTTTTTAAGTTCCCAGCCCGGAGACTCTGCAGCCCAGCAAAAGGACGACAGCCAGGACAAGGTCGACCTGGTGAGTGCTCTTTGCTTAATCATGTCAGGAGTCTCTCACATTTGAGACTGCAACTTCGGCTTCCATTTTTCCAGAGAAGCTTCATTCAAACAGCCCCTCCTCCAAATCTCTCTCTCTCTCTCTC